TTGCAATTCTGAGTTTTTATCTCACAATTTTATGTATCATAATTCTGACTTTCTATATCGCAATTCTATATCTCACAATTCTGACATTATATCTCGCAATTCTGTTTATATTTCACAATTCTGAGTTATCTTGCAATTCTGTTTATATCTCGCAATTTTGACTTTATATCTCGTAGTTCTATATCTCGAAATTCTGACTTTTTTCTTAGAATTGCACATTTTTATCTCACAATTCTGAGTTTTTATCTCGCAATTCTGTTTATATCTCAATTCAGACTTTATATCTCTCACTTCTGACTTTACATCTCACAATTCTGTTTTATCACGCAATTCTGAATTTTTATCTCGCAATTCTGTGTTTTTATTTCGCAATTCTATATCTCACAATTCTGACACTATATCTTGCAATTCTGTTTATATTTTGCAATTTCTGAGTTTTATCTTGCAATTCTGTTTATATCTCGCAATTCTGACTTTATATCTCGTAGTTCTATATCTTGCAATTCTGAGTTTTTATCTCACAATTCTGTTTTATCTCACAATTCTGACTTTATATCTTGCAATTTTGACTTTATATCTCACAATTCTTTATCTCACAATTCTGTTTTATCACGCAATTCTGAGTTTTTATTTTGCAATTCTGAGTTTTTATCTTGCAATCCTGTCTTTATCTCACAATTCGGACTTTCTGTCTCGCAATTCTGAGTTTTTATCTTGCAATTCCGTTTAAATCTCGCAATTTTGACTTTATATCTCGCAATTCTATATCTTGCAATTCTGAGTTTTTATCTCACAATTCTGTTTTATCTCATAATTCTGACTTCATATCTCACAATTCTGACATTATATCTCACAATTCTGTTTATATTTCCAAATTCTGAGTTTTATCTCGCAATTCTGTGTTTATATCTCACAATTCTGTGTTTTTATCTCACAATTCTGACTTTATATCTCGCAATTTTGACTTTATATCTCACAATTCTTTATCTCACAATTCTGTTTTATCACGCAATTCTGAATTTTTATCTCGCAATTCTGTTTTATCTCAGAATTCTGCGTTTTTATTTTGCAATTCTGAGTTTTTATCTTGCAATCCTGTCTTTATCTCACAATTCTGACTTTCTATCTCGCAATTCTGAGTTTTTATCTTGCAATTCTGTTTATATCTCACAATTTTGACTTTATATCTCGCAATTCTATATCTCCCAATTCGGAGTTTTTATCTCACAATTCTGTTTTATCTCATAATTCTGACTTCCTATCTCACAATTCTATATCTCACAATTCTGACATTATATCTCGCAATTCTGTTTATATTTCGCAATTCTGAGTTTTTATCTTGCAATTCTGTTTATATCTCGCAATTATGACTTTATATCTCGTAGTTCTATATCTTGAAATTCTGAGTTTTTATCTCACAATTCTGTTTTATCTCATAATTCTGACTTTCTATCTCGCAATTCTATATCTCACAATTCTGAGTTTTATCTCAATTTTTGTTGTTGTTTGATGTTTTTGTTTTTGTTGGAAGTCCAAATGGTGAGATATAAACTCAGAATTATTATAAAAAGTCTGAATTGTGAGATAAAAAGTCAGAATTCTAAGAATATAGTCCAAATTGTGAGATATAAACTCATTTTAATTACCTTTCTTATTTTTTATTTGTCGCGGAAATAAACTTCTATTACATATAGTGTAAAAACATGCCTTGATTATGTTTAACTAGACTTACTGTATTTTACTTCTTACATTAGTTATACATTACAGTTACATACAGAATTCAACTTGCAGTGAAACATGGTCAGCTACTTTGTACATTAAACATATCAATAGTAGATAAAATGGTAAGATAAGACGACCATAAGAAATAAAAACGAAAAAAAAAAAGTCATAATAATAATAATGACAAAACAAAATAGCAGGAAAACTAAAAAAACACAACTACAACAACTGTTTGGTTGAAACGACTTTGAAACGACTGAAAAACAATTATCTTTCATTTGAAAGCAAACCTATAAATGTTGATGGTGCTGAAAAGTGTTGGTGGTTCTGCTTGACTGACACACGAGCACAAAGGCCGGTGTTTTTGGGCTGCTGTGTCTGCATCCTGACTTTACTGGGAAACACAAACACTCTTCACCTTTTGATGATTTTAATTACAGCTTTTCAATGAAAGCAAAGCAAAGCCTGAGAAAAGCTGCTAGGCAGCAGCTGAAGGAGAGTGAAGCTCTGCTGTCTTTTCATGTGACCGCAGCCTTTGATTCCTCTCATCCTTCAGACGACGTGACAGAGTCTCATCAATCACTCCTTTCTCTGCGCTGATGCTTCTGGCTGCTCAGAGTTTACTTATGGCCAACCCTAAAGTATATCCTCCTTCAGGCATTGAGTGCCAGTGTGTGTGTGTGTGTGTGTTCACAATGAGACTCAATGCTTCTGTCAGACCAGGTTAAATCTCTCTTAGCATTAACCCTTTTGCTGCTGGAAATACTTCACCTAATTTGGTGTTTCCAGTCAAAAATGACCAGCCTTTTAAAAATTGCTTGTAAATCTCTCATTATGCTATATCTTGGATTTAATCTTTTTATCAGCTTGTTTTCTTTCAGTTAGCACAGGTTTTGTGTTTCTTTTTGGATCTGATTGATCACAGGCCGCATTGATTTGAGCTCATGCACCTCAGTTTTTGAGTGAAATTTTTTTTTATTATTTGTGGATAATTTTGGGAACGTTTGCTCAAAAACTGATCAATCAGTTCCAAAAAGAAATACAAAACCTGTGCTAATCAGGGTTATTATGGTTAACTAAAACTAAAATGAAATCAAAACCATAAAAAAAGTTTTCACTTGAAATAAAATAAACATGCAACACAAACACAATAAAAAATGTATTTTCTTTTTTTTCAAAATGTTTAAATAAATGTTAAATTTTTTTTCCAGTTTTTTTTTTTTGCTAAGGCAAAATTTCATTTTATCATTGTAATTTAGTTTAACCTGATGTACTAAAATAACTAAAACTCAAATAAAAATTTATAAAGAACTACTACTATAAAAATAACAAAAAAACAAAACAATAAATAACTAAAACTTTAACTAAAATGAAAATTAAAATGTAAAATATATTAAAAAAAATGATTTAAAATATTAAGACTATAGTAGTATCATTTATACTAAAACAAAACTGGTGCTAATTGAAAGAAAACAAGTTTATACAAATATTTAATTAAAAGATTAATAATACAGCATTACGAGAAATGTATACGCAATTTGGCTGGTCTTTTTTGAACACCACAAGTGCAACAAGGTACAATAAAAAAGCACAATAATTACCAAAGACATTTTCTAAAGTTGTTCTACAATTTGATAACATTAACCAGCATTTTAGGAAAAAGAAAATCCTCTCCGGGTCAAAATGACCCAAACACAACATGACTGCCGTTCATTTAAACTGTAAAACCGACACTTCAAGTGCGAGAAGAAAAAGAGGCGGAGTAACAGCCGTCATTAACTCTATTTACAGCCAATCAACAGCAGCCGTGCTTCAGAAGTGCTTTCATAACACATTATGAGTGTGACTGTTACAGATACAGCATATCAATTCACTTAAATATCAATGAGAGAATCACAAACCTCCACCATGATGATTCAGCTCATCACCTACTGCTGTGATCTGACCTTTGACCTTCTGCATTTACAGCAGGGAATATAGAGGCATTTCTTCAACTTCAGCCACTTTTAGGGGTTGATTTGAATTCAAACTAAGAGATTTCAACATTATAAGGTCACATTACTTTCCCCCACTCCTTCATCATTTAATTTGGCTATTTTTAAAATGCCTTCTTAATGCTTTACCTGTTTCGATCCTAATGAAAATTCATTATAAAAATGTCAAAAATATTGTCAAATTTAATGGGATACATAAAATGCCAACCATGATGAGCCTCAACAAGATGTAGTTATTTGAGTACAAACTTATTAATGTCATTTCCACCACAGAACGCTATTAAACACACAATTTGAGCCGGAAATTACATCATGATGAAACATTAAATCAACTATTAGGAACCTGTACATTAAGAATGAAAAGCGCCCATAGTTCTGTATCTATCGCTGTTTCTACGGATTCGGTTCGAACGAGTCATTTCAACTGATTCATTACAAAGTTGATTCAAAGGAAAGATCGTATTTTTGCTTGCCAAACACTGCGATCGTTATCTCAAATTGCAAACTGATGAACACTGTGCTTTTTTTCTGATGTCTGGACTCGATCTGCAGAGGTGTAGCCAATAAAACGACCGTTTTCAGAAAGATTCAATATGCGGGTCAATTCGTTCATCGGAGAAGTTCTATTACGAAGCGCGTGTGAGCTTTCCCAGATTAGTCACGAATAGAAATTGCACAGCTGCATTAGGAAAACCAAGATTGAGATAATTGATGCAACCGCAAAGAATACAGTAACAAGTGTAGATTAAGAAATAATCCCAAAAGCATCGTTAGCCAACTATGATCGCAAGTTCCTAAACTCCCAACCTGCGAGCATAAAGTTGCTTTTGGAAATACAATTAATTTCCACTGGCTTCGTTCTGTGAATAATGATTCCAGCAGCGCGCGCTCATCATTGCATCTCTTCTCCGGTAATGTTTTTCTCGGATCGCTCGCGCTTATTTCCTCCTTCAGCCGCAGTTCAAAGTCACAGAGACATCAGAAGCGCATGCCTCATCTCCATGCAGGACTTTCCCCCACATCTCATCTCCGCATGGGACAGCCAAAGCATTCCCAGAACTAGTCCTTCACTAGGTTAGAATAACTTAGCGCAATCAACACCAATGCCTATTGCACAACGTTCAAGAGCGCACAAACTGATTTAACAAGCCTAACTAACCAGCTAAGTGTTGTAAACGCATGTTTGCAGGAGAATAAGAGCACTAACAGTCCGTGTGCAAATCAATGAAGCAGGAATTTCCCTGTCGGTAAAAAAGCCGCAGCGCATTCCTGAGGCGCCTTTACCTGCGGGGTGACGGAGACGCGTCTGCGCTTCTGCGCTTCTGCGCTTCAGCTCGACACAAACCCGGGAGATTCTTCAGCACGATCCGCTCCGAGACTCCGAGCAGAAATCTGGACTGAGATCAGATCATCGCAGTGAATCGGAACATTAGCGCGCACTGGAGCGTCCGTCGCCTCTTAAAGCGCTTCAGGCTCGTTTCGGCGTCTGGCTCCACCTCGAACGAGACTCAAAGATGCTCTCCGCCCAGAATGAACCTGAGACAGGTATGCAAGCGTCTCTACAGATTCACTGCTGCCCACCAGCGGCACAAACACACAACTGCAAGAAAGAGAAGATCAAGCAGCAGCATCAAAGCGAGATCAAACCGGCTCGTTTCTGTTTCTGATCGGAGCTGTGTAATTATTTTGATAATATATATTGATGTGCAAGAGATGTATGATGTTCTACCAAGTGTTTACGGACGCATAGATGGCAGGATAATTTATTGACTTGTTTATCTATTGATAGGAGAGGATGCATTAGTGAAACAGGTGTGACACTCGTACTTTCCCCGAGAAACGCTTTCTTTTTGGTGCATTTTCCCCTTCTTTCATGTGCACTTTGAAATGTGCTTTTCCGCCCGCAATTAAACGCAATAAAGAATGAATAAAATTTGCTCCATGAAGCTCAGCGGTGCAGAAAACCGATATCCACCGCAAGGATACGTTTAGAGCCAAATGAAGGCGCTCGCAGGGTGATTCTGTATCGGTTTTCATAAATGACTGTATTTGCACATTCATGCATCATTTTGTAGTGCAAAAAGATGAACATGATATATTTGAAACAGTAATGTTTTGGCGACTGTCACTTGGTAACAACTTCACAGCAGGGGTGCAAAGAATGGTTGCCATGGAGATGGCAGCATCAGCTAACCTACTTCTGCAGGTTGAAGGACGCGGCGTGCATGAGGCACATGCAGAACTCTGAAGTCTGAAATGATGGTGAAATGACTGGATATGGAGATTGTTTGCTATTAAAGCAGAGCCATTAATCGATGGAAGCTTGTTTCTGCCACAGGATAAATAATTGCGATTTTTTAATCTCCCAATCCTGTCTTTTTTTCCTGCAACTGTTAGAAAAAAAGTCAGAATTGCTAGATAATTGCAAGACATAAACTCACAATGCTGAGAAGAAAATTACAAGATATAAACTCGCAAATATAACCCGCAATAATGAGAAGAAAAGTTGTAATTGTGAGATTAAAAATTATGCAATTTTATCCCATGGTGAAAAAAAATAGAATTGCGAGATGCAAACTTAGAATTCGGATAAAATGTTTTTTTTTTTAGAATTGCGAGATATAAACGTGCAATTCTGAGAAGAAAAGTTGTAATTGTGAGATAAAAAGTTGCAATTACCTTTTACATTTTTTATGCAGTGGTGAAAAAAATTGAATTGCGAGATGCAAACTTAGAATTCTGAGAAAAAAGTTAGAATTGTGAGATATTTCAATTTCGAGAAAAAAATAGAATTGTGAGATGCAAACTTAGAATTCTGAGAATTTTTTTTAGAATTGCGAGATATAAACTTGCAATTCTGAGAAGAAAAGTTGTAATTGTGAGATAAAAAGTTGCAAGTACCTTTTTAATTTTTTATGCAGTGGTGTAAAAAATAGAATTGTGAGATGCAAACTTAGAATTCTGAGGAAAAAGTTAGTAGTGAGATATTTCAATTTCGAGAAAAAATAGAATTGTGAGATGCAAACTTAGAATTCTGAGGAAAAAAGTTAGTAGTGAGATATTTCAATTTCGAGAAAAAATTGAATTGTGAGATGCAAACTTAGAATTCTGAGAAAATTTTTTTGAATTGCGAGATATAAACTTGCAATTCTGAGAAGAAAAGTTGTAATTGTGAGATAAAAAGTTGCAAGTATCTTTTTTATATTTAATTCTGTGGTGTAAAAAATAGAAGTACTAGATGCAAACTTAGAATTCTGAGGAAAAAAGTTAGCATTGTGAGATATTTAAATTGCGAGAAAAAAATAGAATTGCGAGATGTAAACTTAGAATTACAAGGAAAAAAGCCAGAATTATGACTTTATATCTCACAATTCTGAGATATAAGAGTTATGTCTGGCAATTTTTTCTCAGAATTGAAAAAAGTCTAAATTGTGGGAGAAACGGTCACAATCCATTTTTAATTTTTTATTCCGTAGCAGAAACGGGCTTCGGTATTTAACAGACCCACTTCCATTTGAAATAATGTAGGTTATGCTACAAAACTGCAACATTATACTGAATGTAATAATGGCTAAACAAGAGCGCAGATGACAGCAGATGTTTGCTGAGGCTCAGGTGGAGGGTGTGGAGGGAATCTGCAGCAGTAGCTCAGCTCTTCTTGGGTGGTCAGAATGAGAGAAGAGCTTCATCTCCTCGTGTGTGCTGTAGTTCTGTGTGAATCGGGCAGGACGGGACACGTCCAGCTGCAGCTCAGACCGTCTGTTTGCGTTCAGCTCCGTTCACACACAAAGAGAACATTCTCAAGATGATAACTAGCACTTATGAATTTTAACACGACATAAGATACTGCATGAGATGCAAAACAGTTTTTTCGTGCACTCGTGCATACCAAGAGTTTGTGTCATTTCTGTCAAAATTCAACAGATGGCGCTAGTTGCCTGTTTAAAAATCACACAAACGACATGATTATTTTTCTGAATTAACTGTTTATTATTCTTTACACGATGATCTGGTTATTTGTAATTACTCAGAGCATGTGAAACATCAGGATTATAAACATTAAACCAATAATTAAACCTAATTTACACAAATGCATGAGATATGAACTCTAACCACCAGATGGCGCCTCAGTAACGCAAAGAAAACAAACAGCGATCGATCGATTGATTGATTGCAGATCAATATCAAAGCACTGAACTATAGTACGCTCTACTTATTATATTAATAAAAATAGTTGTAAAACCCATCATCCATCAAAAAAAGAGGCAGAATTTCTAAAAAAAAAAAAAGGCTGTACATGTAATTTCAATATAAATTAGAAAAATTGAATTGAATCTCGTATAGCCTAATTAAAAAAAAAAAAAAAAGATGTTGATGATGATGTTTAGATTTCTTAAGTAACATGAAAATGGTACTTTACCTGTGCAAAAAAATAAATAAATAAATTTGCCAATGCGTTGCTATGCAGTTGTTAAGGCGTTTCCATGACATAAATATACAAAATAATCATTTACTCATTAAATTAGCTACTCCTTAATCATGAAATCATTCAAGTAACGCTGTAAAACATTTGGCTGAGAAATATAATACTATCTAGATTTCTTTCTTTTTTTTGTAGAAATGCAATTGCAATTATACAGCGTTGTTAGGGTGTTGCTATGCGGTTGCAAAGTCGCTGTAAGTGGTTTTTAGGGCGTTGCTAAGGGCCCAGTTTGATCATCAGTGAGGGAAGTAACAGCGTGATTTGGGGAATCATTGGCTCTGAGCACAAAATCGAGATTTGATCAAATCAATCAGTCGACAGTAACAACCTGCCCTAGTAACGCGCGCTACAAGAAGCTCACGCTTGATGGCGCGCGCGTGACCTCACGGTTCCCCACAGCTGCGTGTGTGTGTGTGTGTGTGTGTGTGAGACAGAGAGAGCAGCAGCAGCAGACGCGCTCGCTCCTCGCAGCGCTCCGTCGGTATGTCTCGAGCAGTTCTCCGTACACTAGTATGACCACATGCGGGCCAAGTTGACTCGCGTCGCCTGCGCGTCGACGACAGCGTTGCGTACCAGAAGAAAATATGGACGAGTCGTCGCTGCTGGATCTACTGGAGTGCTCGGTGTGTCTGGAGCGGCTGGACACCAGCGCCAAAGTGCTGCCCTGCCAGCACACCTTCTGCCGCCGCTGCCTGGAGAACATCGTGAGCTCCAGACACGAGCTGCGCTGCCCGGAGTGCCGCGTCCTGGTGGACTGCGCGGTCGACGATCTGCCGGCCAACATCCTGCTGGTGCGCCTGCTGGACGGGATTAAACAGCGCCCGAGGAACGGAGGAGGGAGACCGGCGCTGGCGGGATGCGCGGCCGGTGTGTCGGCTTCGCCCCCGGGGACAGCGGTGCGGGATCTGCCCGTCGCCACGCGGAGCTCCCCGGTCAAGGTTTGTGCGCTTCTTGTGCTTTTGCTCGAACATCATCTCAGATTGCGTTTGCCATCGCTTCCAGGAGCTTCAGGGCTCGGACAGACTGAGTGACAGCATTGCAGAATAACGCATACCGAGTTTACGTATTAAAGCATCTTGAACTTGTTTTAACGCACAGATTGCGAGAGAAAGTCTGGAGTTTGCACTCTGGTGCTGTCAGTGTTTGGTGACGTCACTGCAGTTTGATTCTCGCATCTGAGATCAGACAGAGATGCTCGAGCTGGGAAAGAGACGATGCTTTAATGTAAACATGAGCGTGATGGAGAAATATGTTTGCTCAGGTGCAGCTAATGCTCTGCTGTTGTTTTCTCTACATGCATCTTCAAGGGTTTCAGCTGTTTTTGGTCTGAGGACATGCAGTACCAGTGTAAAGGAGATCTGAAATCTAAAGGCTTTGATTCAGCGCTACGAGTTTCGAGAATAATTCAGCCAAAAATGCAAATGTGCCGATTTGCTAATCCTCAAGCCATCCAAGTCAGATTTGTAGAAATGTAGCACTGCATCAGTGTCTCAGCAATGGATGCTCTGCAGTCTTGTCATTTTTGGGTGAACTGTTCCTTTAATGGATGAATTGTAGTGAATAGTGAAGGAAACGCATAATCAAGTCTGCATATGTTCTCCTTCGGTAGTGTTTAAATCATCTCATGATGAAGTAAAATGGAATATGTCGTGATTTAATAATATATAGTGTTCAGACTCTCCCCTGGTACATATTGTATGGAATTGCAATGATGTTATTATCTAACAACTGCGATTGGCTGTTGCTATAGTAGCAGGATGTTTTCCTGTGGCATGGAGCGATGGCTAGATGTTTCTCGGAGACGCTCCGAGTCGCTCTGCTATTGTTGTGCTGCTCTATTGTTGTGTTTGAAGCGGTCAAACACGCAGACGCCCCTCAGTCCCACAGGAGCAGCAGGACTCATTGAAGTGTGAAGTGACGTGCGATCACAGGTCAGGACAGAGCGCTGACGCTGCATTAGGCAGGACTGATGCTTGGCTTTGGTTGTATGTGCTGTGGCTCGTCTGATAACGCAGAGCCCACGCTGCACATTCATACTTACAGAACAGCGTGCATTTGGCACAGATGCAATCTGCTGATCGAGGGGAAAATTTGCTGAATTAATTTAAACATATGTTCCACTGAGCTGAGAGCACAAGCACTTATTGGTAGCTGAAAGCATTGCTAAATTATCACAAATATGCAATTAACAACCATGCATGGAGCGATGGATGTGTAGATTGTTATGAATGGCAGGTTCAGATTCCACAAGCGTAATGTGCCATATAACGAGGTGTGCAAAGTGTATTTGTGGTCACATATTTTCTGGTCATCGGGATCCGCTCTGGCCATTATAAACCCATATTGATCGTCCACTAGTTTGCAGTGAGAGAATAAAGCTGTGGATACAGACATGCTGAAGTCTGATATCTGCTCTGATAGGATATGAAAGCCTTTCAGAAGTCATGCTTGGAAATAAAGTTGACACACTATTGGATGCAAAATGTAAGAATTTCTCATGATATTTGCATGAAAAATTAACCCTATAAAGCTACTGAATCATATTTGATATGCACATTTGTAGGGCCTCTTAAATGATCAACATGACTCATTTCACTCGATCTCCTCCATGTCTTCTGTCATCTCATTGATAGTTTAGAGTGTTTTATCCAGTAAAAGCTCTTTTAGTGTAATCGTACAAACGTCCATTATGATTTTGATCAAGTAAAGGTCAGAATAACTGCAGTAATATCTCCAGATGAACACTTACTGGACTGAAGCAGCTCAGCTTTACTTGATTCTCCGTCAATCATGTTTTAGAGTCTCAAATCTGATCCTCAGGATCTTTTGAGGAGCGTTTGTTTCCAGAAGCTTTACTTTCACTGTTCCTCAGCGGAGGAATGATCTTCACAAGCCTCCAGAACATCTCACATCTTCTGAGGAGCCTTTATTTCTTCAGCTCTCAATCAGCACTGGATTCACTCAGGAGAAAACAGGTACAAAAGTGTGCTGCTCCAGTGACAGCTTTTGTACCTTTTAGTCTGAGAGTGTTGCATTGCATTATATGTTTGGATCATCTCATCTTATATTACTGGAGATATAGAGCGGCGACTGATGTTTAGATCATTTTACATCAGTATCTGCTGTTCTGTTATAAAGATCTTACTGATTTACATTACGAGCATCAGAATAAATGAATAGCATTTGCAGCAAATTGCATGTTTTTGCTCAGTTTGAGTCTGTTTTTTTCTGGGTTTGAAGCTCTGTTCGGGCCGTTCAGGAATGTGTCTGTCTTCGTTTGACAGCAGAGGTGTCTCGTTCTCCTGTGATTAATGCGTCAGTGACAGCGGATTGTCCTTTTGTTCTGACAGGGTCACTGACGTTCATTTCCTGCGTTAGACCTGCTCTTAAAAATGCAGAGATATTCAGTAACACTTTACTTGAAATCTTTACGTGTAATGCATTATAAAGGTATTCAACATGATCAAACATTGTAATGCATCTTTTCATAAATAAGTGTAACCAAGGTTAAAATGCATTATAATATTTGCAGATTCCTTGTTGCATCTGAAATCTTTTGTTTGTCTTGTTTTTTTTAATGCATTAAAGGTGTAACAATGAATAGATAAATATTATAATGTATTATATCTGTGCTTTCCATTGTTCATGACATCTTACAAGGCACAATTAATGCATTAAAATACTTTATATAGTTATATAGACTGAAAAAAGTGGTGTAGAAACAATCAAGAAACAATCTTGAAACTTCAAAAAGCAGAAATTTTTAATTTTTTAAAATTGATTTCTAATATAGCTGGGTTTTTGTATTTTTCTTATGTGGTTTTGTTATTTTTTTAAATATTTCTATTTAGCTTTAATTTATTTTTATTTAATGTCTAGTTTTAGTAATTTTAGTGCTTTATTTAGAATTTTAAAATTAAAGTTTATTTCTAATATATATATTTAATTATGTATTTTAAAATTTTTGTTTGTTATTTCTGAATTTTAAAATACAAGTTTTTGTAATAAAAACATTTTATTTTTGAAGTTTTTGTAATTTTATGTGCTTTAGTTATTTTTTAAAATATGTCTATTTAGCTATAATTTGTCTTAAATTGGTTTTAATTTTAGGAATCTTCCCTGATATTTGTAGCACAGTGATGGAGGATTTTATTAGACTGAAATAGTATTTTCTTGTAAAATGTAATGTAATGATCTTTATTTTATTTACAACTTCAAATAATCTTTTTTTATTTATTTTTTATTTTTTTACAGTATAAAGGCCTTAATTAATATGCTACCAGAATTTCATTGGAGTTTAAAGCAAATAGCAGTCAGACAGTTATTATTGCACAAAGCAGCAGATCCTGAAATGATGTAAAAACTGTTGTTGTAAACATGCATTAGGGTTTTCAAAAACCACAAGCAGAGACCGTCATTTTAAAATGCAACCCAAGCTGACAGTAAAAACCTTCATCTTGTTCTGACTCGATCAAATCCCATAGACTTCCAGTGAAATCTGGGCTCTAATACTCCCTAGAGCTTTCAGTCGCCATTTATTGAACTGAACACAGACCTTCAGTCTGTCATGACTTAGTATTGTTCATTTAGATGTTTGCATGAAGTAGACAGCATTAGGGGTCGACTGATTATCGGCGCCGATATTAAGCATTTTATGGTTATCGGTATCGGTCATTTGTCAAAACCGATTAGCAGATAAAATAATTCAAAAGCATTTAAAGAAAGTTTTTGTCAGAGCCCTTGTTATTCTTAATTTTGACATTAATTAAAATTTTTACACCAGACACATATATCAGTTCAAAATATCGGTTATCGGTCTACTTGATCTGTAATAATAGGTATCGGCATCGGCCCTGAAAAACACATATTGGTCGACCCCTAGACAGCATACATGTCTACTGAGTGTTTAGAATGTGATGTGGATGTAATGTGATGTAATGGCATGTACTGTGGAACATTCAGTCTGTTATTACGGCCGATGTTGTGGTCTTTATCGGAGCTCTGGTGTTCACAGCGGGACGAATCTCTCTGGATTTCTGCTCGGTTTTGACAGTCTGATTCCTGCAGCCACTCACAGCATCATTCCCACCATTAACACATGACACTTTAAGCTCTGAATGACGGGGTGGGGTTAAAAAATATTGATTCTTATTTTCATGAACTGAAATCAGTTCTTAAATCCCAAGAATCGATCTGTGCTGTTTTCAGTTGATGCGTCAGAATGAAACATTATTAGCTCCAATAATCGCAATAATCTTTGTGCTTTGTTACTTTTGATATGAAACAAAGTCTCAGCTTTCAAATTGTGACAATAAAATGTGTTTTTTAAAACTAAATGGGTTTTTGCTGCTCTTTAATGTGTGCTGACAGATGCTGTAGTGAAGCATCTTTACTACTAGTTACAGCAGCAAATAAACACGAACGAACATCAGAACTGAAATCAGTCATGGAATCGATCAACCGGTCTTCAATAATGCTTGTGATCAATAATGCCACGTAACGTCACATTTAAGACATTCAATGACCATACACTCGATAGTCAGCTAGAAAAAATTACATTTTGATAAATATATGCACTATATTACATATTCATTTGATTTTTACTTATAATCTGTTCTTCAGTATTTAATGTCTGTTTGGATTTGGTTGTTGCTCACGCACGCGGACGTCTACTGTACTCACAGTTAAATTAATAATTAACATCCTACTGAATTGCATCATATGTTTACATTATATGCATGAGTTATAACTGATCATTTAAACATCTGGAGTCTATTCAATTTGAGTTTTCTGCTTCAGATTGCTGTGAAATGGCCAACTAACTTATTAGTTATCATTTTTGTGACTGCATTGATGAGTAAAGCACAACTGACTGCTGAAATATGAACATTAACTTTTGCTTTCTATTTACCCTTGTGAAAAAAAAAAAAAATATATA